AATCCAACTGCAAAAAACCAAAGGGGTGGGGATTTAATCATTAAATAGAGAATATAAAATAGGTAATCGTGGATTTAGACAGTAAGATAGACCATATGGACTACATTTTGCGATTAAAAACTATAAAGTCCGGCCCGGTTTAAAATCAACGTATGTGCCATCAGTTTCTCTATGCACGTAAGTGTCTTTTCAGATGAGCTAGAATTTATAGCTCCAAACTGCAAAATGCAATCCATATAACATGTTCATCCCAATATTATTGTGATGAACTGGACTACATTTTGCAATATGGAACTATAAATTCTGCCTCTCCTGGAAAAACACTTATGTGCTTAGGGAAACTAATGGCACATTCGTTGTTTTTAAACCGGGCTACAGAAATTATTGTTCGAAATTGCAAAATGTAGTCCAACTGTACTACATTGCTGCAAGCACGTCAGAAAACATCCCCCCTCCCCCTCCTAAAAAAACCCACAAATGACTCATCAGATGGAGGGGTAGTTGCCAATTACGTTGCTCCCGCCGATAAGGCATATCAGCCGGGACGGGTTGGGTCATAGTTGTGGTGGTTGCCACGGTTTTGTCCCAGAAAAAAGTTTAAACAAAATAGGTTGCTTTTTTCTGTGCCTTTCCGATCCCTTTGTAGTTAGTTTCTTGAACAAAAATTGAATAAATTCCAAAAATCTCTAAAAAGAAGTGAGTAATACTTCATATCTAGTATTAAAGTTTTCTTCAAAGTATTTTTAGATTGCTGTTCTTTTTCGAAGTAAAAACTGAGAAGTTAAAATTAAAATTTGATCTCATAACGAAAAACGACACTCGTTCGCAGGAAGCCGTCTAGATTTTCCGGACTTGGGTCACGTTTCATTTTTGACGAGCTGGGTGTGACTTTGCGGCTAGAGTGCGACACGGCGAAGCAAGCACATGCGGGTAAGATAATGTATTTCCACCGCGGTTATTTATAATGGATAGCGCGGCATGCATATTTCATTTCTCAGCTGGGAGCAGCCTACTGCGCGCAACTATGAATACTGCACGGGAGTAATTTACGAATGCAAATTTTTGTCTTTCGCGGGGGCTGCCTCCTCGTAAAATGTAAATATTTCAAATTAACTAACCGAAAAGACTCGGGCGTTCCGTTCTGCGCTCTTGTTAGGACAGAGGTGGCTGCGTTGCAAACGTTACCATGGTCCAGAGATCCAGGTACACACAGAGCCGCACATTCAATCCCAGATAGCGCTCGTAGCGCATTAGAGCGTATCTTACTCGCTTGTTTGCTCTAGTCGGTAATTTTTGGTTCCCTCACTCGAATGAGATTACCCTAAACTTAAGTAGAAAAGCAAAGTGAAACTAAAAAACAGTCTGAGGTATCGAACTTATTTCGACGTAATATTATACGAACATGTTTCAACTGAGCTCAGTTTTTCTTTGTATGGTTTAATCGAAATTACCAGGACGGTTTGGCCAAACTTGTCAAAGTAATTGACAATGCTATTGAACAACCATATGACAACCATGTTTGTTAACATTATGTTTTATCTTGTATAAATATATGTCTAACCTAAAAAAGCCAATCTCTGATCTTAATGTTCACGCGTCTCATTCGTTCAAGCTGAGTAAATCACTAAGTTGTGAGCTCAGAACTGTTGAACTCATGTTTTATAAATACTACTTTTTTAATAAGTTTAAATTTGTTATTAATCATATAGCATATCTTATCATTTGCTTAGTTGTATTATTTTTCATAGTTCTGTTAATTTGGTCATCCTGTGAGTGAGGGTCATCCTGAGAGTATAGTAATTTCTAATTTTGTCATCTTTCAGTGATATAAGAGACAGGACCTTTAATTAGTCGAGTTACACACAATTTGGCCTGGAACGGCGCGACTTTAGGAAAAATGATGACGAGGACTTGACAGCAAAAGGAGAAGCCCTCGGCGCGGCAATCGGCATGTAACACATATTAGCGTTTACATGACTCCACGAATACTTCACGCATTGCATCAAATACAGTGCGGTTATTGTGGTCAGCGTGAAACGGATAGCGCCTACAAGAATGCATGAATACTTCGCGCATTGCGCCAAACGCAGTGCGGTCAGCGTGAAACACAAAGCGCCTACAAGACTGCGTGAACACTTCACGCATTGCGCCAAACACGGTGCGAACGGCGCGGCGCGGCGGTGGAAGTTAAAATCACTGAACCACTTTTATGTTTGTTCTTTCATAATTTTTTCGTTCATTTCTTAAGAATGGAATGCCTTGTCCATTACAGATAGGTTTACGAAACTTGACTTTTGCGCAAAGTTCCGTGACCTTTTGCAAGTGGTGTTGACAGGGCTTTCCCGAAAAATGTGTTTAACACGAGTAAAGTACGTCTTGTGTATGTACCCCTCCCCCGTTGGTACGTTCACTTGATGGTTTTTATTGATGTTCCAAAACGAATGAGAAGGGGGCGGCAAAATACAGGCGGCCCATGGGCGGCAAGTAGAAAAATCCGGCCCTGACCAAAATGATGACACCCTCATTAACATCTTCGAATAATTTGAGGGCACCCCGTCATTTTAGAGCTTCGCAGTTAAGCCTGCCGCACGGTGAAAAGAGCTTTTCAGAGAGGTTATTTATACAATTTTCGACCGAAACCGCAAATTTTGTTGTGTTTTTTGATAGGTTGTTATTGTTCGTACGCCTCTGCCTCGCATACCTCGTGAAAGAAGGTGTGTCGTGCTCTTTGTGAGTTTTGTCTCGGTTTGCGCATCAAAGATGAGATAAATTCTAAGAAATTGAAGGCTACGTCCTAATTTAAAGTTACAAAACAAATTAAAATGACATTTGCACATTAAAGCATGGAAAATCACGAATATGACGCGGGAAAAGTCATTAGTCACGGAATATTTTTCACGCATCTTTTTTCAGAGACCAACACGAGTCGACCCAGCTTGGCTCCGTAATCATCGCTATGAGGTTTTAAAGTAATTACATAAATCAGACATTGTGCGCGGGGAGCTTTTTAACCCCTCTCTCGTATAATTTGTTTCAAAACAGACATTTTCTTTCGCTGGCGGAGTTGCGCGCCTGGCCGACCGTTGGGAGGGCGAAAAGGTTTAAGGCTTGATTATACGTGCACCGAGGATGATTTATGGGTTCTTGGGAGATACAAGAGAGGCACTCGCTCCCGCGATGTTTTGCCCATAAACCCCCGAGGTTATAACTTCCAACCCCCAACCCCACGCGGCTCCAACCCCCACCCACTCGGTGGCAACGAAGATACAACTTGGGATATCAAACTGCTGGCAAACTTTTTCTTCCGAAGGGAGGAACCCGTGGGTCATTAAAAAGATATTAACACCAACCGCGCAATGCGGAAGAACTCGCCGCTAACCATTCCCATCCCTTCGCAGTCCTTGACCCCCTCACTTGATGAGATAGCCGACAGGGAGCGCCGCCCTTTTTTTACAGCGAAATCTGACATGCTTTCACGGTGGGATGATCTATCTCTTCAGCTCGCATTTTCAGGAAATGGGATTCACAGATTTTATTTAATGACCCCATTTGAATAACCTCCACATCAGAGATTAAACATTAAATATACTCGCGAATTTTTGGGACCAAAAGTGAAAGGCAGTAAATATTGTAATTTATCTAATTTTTTTACTACCGTTTCTCGCCGATAATATTAAATTCGGAAACTAATTTTTGACCGAAATATTCTAGATGCAGAAGTATTTTGGTCAGGGCTAGATTTTCCTACTTGCCGCCCATGGGCCGCCTGTACTTGCCGCCAACTTCTCATTCGTTTTGAAACATCAATAAAAACCACCAAGTGAACGTGCCAGCGGGGGAGGGGTACATAAGACGCGTTTACTCGTGTTGAACATATTTTTTTGGGAAAGCTCTGTCAACACTCCTAGCAAAAGGTCACGGAACTTTGCGCGAAAGTCAAGTTTCGTAAACCTATCTCTAATGGACAAGGCCTTCCTTTCACAAGAAATGAACGAAAAAATTGTGAAAGAACAAACACAAAATTTGGTTTAATGATTTTACTTCCGCCGCGTTGTCGGCGCCGCGCCGCAGGTGAAATGATGAGTGCCGAGACAGTCAAAACGCCTTCACATTTATGCGTATGCAACACGGACATTCGTTGAGCTCGAATAGTTGCATCCAAGAGTTGAATCAAAGTTTGTATTGTGTTCGTCGTGCTCGACACTTGTTGGTTTGTATTGGGCACCTTGCTTGTTTCTCTAATGCTGTAACTTAATTCCAGCGTTGCTTATTGTGCCGATGAAGTAAACTATTACTGATTTTCTTCGCGACATCGTCAATTTTCAAAATAAAGCTTTGGTAGATTAAAATTTAACAACTTTCACGTCCCAAAATGTAGTCTGCGGCCCCTACTTTTCCTGATCTAAGAACGACAAATAAGTCGTTAAAAAAACACAAAAAAAACAAACAAACAAAAAATCAAGGAATTTTTGAAACGCGGATCTGATCAAATTTGGCAAAATTCTCAGACGTATAACTACACTCGGAAAAAAAATTGTGAGGGTTGGCCTGATAGATATCCAAATTTCATTAGTGAAAGAATTTCCTTCTTTTAGAAAGGTACAGATCATTAAAAAAGAAAAAAAGAAGTAGAGAGAGAGGGAGGGGAAAAAATAAAAACCGAAATGTTTAGAATATAACTTATTCACATAAAACTATAAAAGTGTAAACAATTAGAAAAAACATTTGATTTTCCTTCCAAGAGGATTAGGTCACCAAACTTCTACTTAAATTAGAAAAACCATACAAATTAAGTAAAAACTGATAACAAAACATCGTAAGTAAATATTTATAGTATCCAAACCGAAGAATATGACAAGTGTAGATGGCAATGCAGACAGAACCCTTCTCATCGTCTAGAGAACCGCATCTCCAGCTTGCCGCGGTAAGACTACGTAATTGAATACCGCCTATCAAACATTTAATGGGCAATTTTCAATTTTCGCTCAGCAGTTTCAAAGACAATGAGAGTGAGGGCGTGGTAAAGACTCCACAGGCACGTTGAAAGTGCTTGGAGATTGTGGAATTTTTTATCCTCCACGTCATGATCTTAAAATCGATTCCGTTTTGTTGATTCTGTGGCAGTTATATAATCTAACAACGCTAAAATGAAAACATCAGTATGGTTGGTCACGTAAGTAATTTTTAGATGGATTGCCTTATCACAGGGTTTATCGAGGAACAATAAACATTTTTATAAAAATTAAAGCTCATTTCACTTGAAAACACAAGTTTTTTACAATAAAGTGTCCTGCAAACCTTCGATCTCCTGCATAGGTTGATCCAGTGGCGTGATGTGCTATCGATATATCGATTATCTGCCATTTAAACCTATGGAGACCGGTACGTAGCCAGGATTTTGTTTCGGGGTGGGGGGGGGCTTGCGGGGTCCCCCTACTACCGGGAGGTATGGGTACCCTGGGCTTTGGTTTAAACTGTAGCTGTCTCTATTCATTACCATTGCTAAATTTTGACCAGACAATGTTTTGCCGATATGAAATAAATGGGGCTGTCATTTTAAATTGGCAATGTATGGCAACTTCTGATCTTCATGATAGGATTTATTTTGCTTTTTTCTTTCAATAATGCATTACGCTATGTAGTTTATCATAAATAAACAACTAATAATTCAGGGATGGCCGGCCAGATGAAGAGGTATCATATTCTTTCAGATCACCTCTACTGAGTGATGCTTCATCAGGAAACAAAACTGTTGAGAAGAAGTCAATGACCAATTGAACAACAATGTATGGACTTCAAAGTTTCTGATAATTTTATTTTTGTAACGTTATTAAGGATTTTACTAGGTACGAGTATATTTAAAGTACAGTGCAATTATACAAGTACGTTTCAGATGTAAACATATTATTTTTTCAGAGTGGGGCTTTGCGTGAAACTCGTGATATCAGCAAAAGTACGTGATGAGGAGGATATTGAGACATCTATTGAACGTAAGGATTGGTGTACTTTGATAAACATTCCATGGATCAAAATACTATTTAATGTATGGGTGTTATTTTCAAATTATCATTTTTGAAATTAAAGGAAATAGTCCTTAAGTCTCTTTTCCTCGTACCAATGTGGAGGCAAATAGGCAAATATATTCCCATTCAAATGGACTAATTATGGGCAATCATAAACGGAGCAATGTAATCAGCTATTGAGAATAAGGATGCCACAGGGAAATGGAGAAACGTTTGAATTAAAAACTGTTGTAAGACATTCCAATCCGCCACAGAGCCACTTTTCATCATAAAAAATTGTATAAGATGTAAAGTCGTAATTCTTTACACGGAAAGATGAAATACCAATGTCTATTAGTAAAACTCAAATGATCATTTCCACATCTGAAATATATTGTTTCAATGATATTTTAACCAGTTATCGAATTCTTAATTTCTAGCATTATTGTTTTTACAGCGGAAACTGTAAACAAATTGACCTCACTACCCGGAAGTGAAAATTGTGGTTTAAGTGGCGCCAAAACGGGTCGCATAGTTGGTGGTGAGCCGGCAAAACTAGGTAAGAATATTTTCGCTCATCAGCAGATCGTACGTAATTGTTTCCCTGCCGACGGTTAATTTAATGCTGCTATTATTTACAATACCCGTTTGTTCCATGGCAGATCAGAAAAACAAAACAGAAAAAATGTCATCCAATAATTTCTTCTAGTTTGACTAAGATATCTTCCATTTTTTTAAGTCATCGAGGTCTTTAATCCATTTGAAAATTCTTCAACCTTGAATGAGCATCGGGTTAGGGTTAGTGCATATCCATGCTCCAGGTTTTCACATTTTCAGGGATTAAATCCGAGTGGAATCTATTTCTGCAGGTCCACTTGTCAGGTCCATGAAAATGTGTCGTCGTCACCGGAATTCGAACCCGGGGGGACCTATTATTGACCTAGAGTCAGACGCACTGACCGCTAGGTTAACCTTACAAATATTTCTTGAGCAGTTTTGTTGTTTCGCAAAACTTTTTTACAGATCACGTGTTTCTTTTGGAAATTTTAATATCATATCAAGAAAGGAAAAATCTCCGTTAGCAAAATAAAAAGTTGTAGAATCTCATACTCGAACTCTAACTTGTTTCAAAGGTGCGTGGCCGTGGGTAGCAGCCGTTGGGATACCGGTAGGTAAAGAAAAAAGTGTGTTCTTCTGCGGTGCATCTCTGATATCGGATAAATACGCAGTGACCGCCGCTCACTGCTTCACTGAATTCAGGTCCAGTAGTGGCCAGGGATTAAAAGATGGAGGCCGAAGTCAGGAGTATAAAATGATACCAGGGTACGTTAATTTTCGATTCCATTTATTATTTCATTCAAACATTCCTCATTCAACGCTTTTAGAGGATGTTCCTGTTTCCCTTTTCTTGTTCTCGATCTCCTTTTGTACTTGGACGTCTTGACGATGCGCATTTCAAGCTTTGTGAAGCTCATTTTCAGGTCCTTAAAAACTTTCTGACGGATAGCACCACACGCCACATTGTAAAACGAAAAATTAACAAAACCAACGAAACCGAAAACTGTAGTGGAGTGTGTCTTCTTTTTGGTTATTGTCGTTTCCTTGGAAACTAGAGCAGCCTTATCATTCTTTGTTCGGGTCGGCTTCACCGATATACTCTCTCGGCTCTCCTACTTTTCTCCAGTTCTAAGAAATTTTGTCCCAGTAGTTTTTCACTCCAAATTAAACAAGGTAGTGTACAAAATTAAAGTTTAACCCTTTTATTCCAAGAATCTAAATTCCTTCAAAATTTCAAAAACCTTCAAAATGGAATTAGGAAATAACGCCAAAATCCTTACATTATGAAATGCTTGGACCTTAAAGTTCCCGGCAAAGGTTATTAAAAAGTGGAGGGGAGGGGAAGCTGTACGTGTACAGTTAGAATGACTTCTGAGGTAGAAATTATGCGTTCTAACCTTCAACCATTAACCCCCAACCCTCACCTCCTAAGCCCACAGCCCCCAACTCACTGCCACGACCCAAATTAATTTGTTTACCTATGGATTCGCCAAACACCGAATGGGAGGGAGGAGGGGGAGGTTACGGTTTCTATGCTTCATAACAAAGTCTTACCTAGACTTTTTTGCGTGTCAGAATTCTCTACACCGATAATGAATCCTTGCAATGCGAAATCATTAAAAAAACATTCCACTACTATTATTTATGTCAATAAGATTGAATTCTGTTTGCAGGATGATACTCAGAGTCGGAGATCTTAATTTAGACGACACAGTAGAAGATGGGGCTAAACCAGAAACGATCACCATTGAGAAAGTAGTATCGCATCCATTGTTCATAACTAAAAGGAGTTATGGCGAGACAAAGGGTTATGATATTGCGCTTCTAAAGTTGCAGAAACCAGTAACATTCTCAGGTAATCGGAGTTAAATAGCATTTATCTGAGGGTTTCATCTAAATACTATTTCATGGACGGAACTTAGAACTTTTGGTGAGAAGCAGAATGGAACCTCGTCAAGGGGGTCTAGAGGGCTGAGCAGGGCACCCTCGAGGGAGGCTGAGGGGGCTCATTTTTTGAGGGGTATCTTTGAGGGGCATCCCGCTCTCAGAAATCTATTTACAGTCTCCAGAGAATGTGATGGATTTTGCCATATAAGTGCATGACATATTTTTCACCTTTGATTTTGTATCAAAAACAACTTGATGGCAAAAACTGCTAAAAATTGCTCTTAAATCTGCTCAGTGCTCATACACGATATCCCCATTGGAGCTGAAGGGCAACCTTCAGACCCTCCTATGAAGACAGAGGAGTCCCCTCTGGGATTTCTTGGGAGGTGCATCGCTCTGTGCTCCTGAATAAGGTGTTCATATATTTCCTAGCTCCGCTCATATGCTACTTCCAAAATCAAAAATTGAATTTTTCTTGCTGAATGAATAACTTCAAAACAGTCAGTAGCATAATTGAAACAGTATTAATTAAAAACAATGTTCTTGTTTTACATATGTTTATAGTAAATGTTGGTTTATTTTTCCGATGAGCTTGATGCTTAATGAGTCTGACCCTTTGTTTGCGTTTCTTAACAGCAACATAATATTTCAGTCCTCTCATTTAAAATGCCAACGATATTTTATACGACCGTAAAAAAACTGAGGTGACAACAATGACGATTTTAACATCAAACCCCTTAAGTTCTTTTTTATTGTCTCCTTCATCAACATTCAATATTAGCATGTCTTATAGACAGTCATAAATTAAAATGAATAAAAATTAAATTAATTAAAATTAAAACAAAAATTAAATTTGCGACGAACAAAGTTATGTGCATGTATGTTTATAAATGCAGTTTTACTAATTTTGGTTATCTTTACATGATCCAACAAATGACTGAAAAGACCTTGTCAGACCCATTTGTCTTCCACATAAAGATATTTTCTACACAAACAAAGACTTCGAAGGATATCAGCCGTTCGTTGCAGGTTGGGGACTTACCAATGAAGGTACGTATTTTGCCCTCTCACGTGGTCCCGGAAGGGGTGTTCGGAAAAAAAAATTTCTGTTCGCCGTTCTCTAGACGGAAGGACAGAGAGAGACTTTTCATTTCCTTATTTTACTGCATTTTTGTTAAAATTGAGACCTTACCATCCCCCATACATACTCACTCTACAGGGACAGAATCTCCTACCTCTAAGAGAACGCCTAGGTCGACTGTCCTTGCCGGGGCCATGTTAATCTATCCTGGTCCGACCCTCCAACCCCGCCACCTGCCAAGTTGCCACCAGTATGGCGTGGCGTGAACTGCGATTTATCGATTGTTATGCCATTTAAACCTATGGTAAAGAATCGACTATTAAGGTGTTCGCTGCGAACACCCTACTTATCGATCCTCTTCCATAGGTTTAAATGGCATAACAATCGATATATCGTAATTCACGCCACGCCACTGGCTTGCCACGCCGGGGACAGTAGACTGGATGCTCGCCCTCTTCCGCGACGCCGTTTCAATGAAACTGGAGGAGGCCAGAGCCAGATTAAGGGAGTGGCCACATAGGCCGCGGCCCATGGCGGCAAATTTAGGGGGCGGCAAATTTTGCAATTTTTTTCAAAATATAGGTATAAAAAAATCCGGATTCAGAAAAAAAAATTATCAATAAGAAAAGGGGACAAAATCTCTCTTTCCTGAGAGTAAAGTAATTTCTAATTTTATCGTTTTTCGGTAATAAATGAGACAGCATCTTTAATTAGTCGAGTTAAGAGAGGAATACTGAACACGCAGTTTGACCTGGAGCTCAGCGCAGAGAGGAATGATGACGAGGACTGGAGATGAAAAGGACAAGCCCTCGGCACGGCGGTCGACATGTGACACATATTAGCGCCTACAAGACTGCGTGCATACTTCACCCATTGCGTCAAACACAGTGCGGTCAGGAGCGGTTGGCGTGAAACGCGTAACGCCTACAAGACTGCAGGAATACTTCACGCATTGCGCCAAACACAGTGCGATCAGCCCGGCGCAGCGGCGGAAGTCAAAATTATTAAACCACATTTATGTTAGTTCTTTCAATTTTTTGGTTCATTTCTCATAAATGGAGGACCTTGTTCACACAGAGATATGTTTGCGGAACTTAACTTACGCGCAAAGTTCCGTGAAATTTTGCTAGTAGTGTTGACAGAGCTTTCGCAAAAAATGTATTCATCACGAGTAGGTAAACGCGTCTTATGCACCGCTCCCCCTCCGGCACGTTCACTTGATGGTTTTTATTGATGTTTCAAAACGAATGAGGGGGGCGGCAAAATACAGGCGGCCCATAGGCGGCCCATAGGCGGCCCTGGAGGAGGTGAGCACTTCCAGCGCTGTTCCCGAGGAGAGTAAGAAGGTCATTTTGGAGAGGTGTTGACCCTAAACCCTTATGTCACACATAAGATTATTGTTAAGATTAGTAGATACTGTTCTCCTTCCTTTCACCCTCCTGTTGACTCTCTTCTAGAAGAAAATCATCAAGCTGCACGAGTGTAGATTCAAAACAAATAAGTCCTTCTTCAGCTTTACTCCAGGATTCTTCGCCTAACCATAACATGGATCACTAAATTATCTTGAAAATGAATATGAGTTTATTTGAGTAAAAATTGTTGCTGTTCAGAACTTTTAAGGGCCATATTATGAGGCATGCCAAAATAAATTGCAATTTTGATCATGACATCTGTTAACTCGTCAGCTGATATATTTCTAACCTAGTATTATTAAATAAACTCATAGTTGAACGTGGAATGAAGTCGTTGTCCCTTTCTTTGATTGAGTATTTCACGTATTGATGACCTCGACGTGATGGGAGAATCTCTTCCTCTTGCTCGGAAAAGACTCTTCAAAGGCTAACTTTTATCTTCATCAGAGGACCAAAACCCAGCCGATTCAAAAATAAGTCTTAAAAGATGCACAAAAGTACCATTTTTAAATTTGTAAATTCATTATTTCAGAGAAGAAAGGCGGAAAGAAATCCGATCAATTGCTGCAGATTCAACTTCCGCTTTTGGGATCGAATGATTGCGTTGATTTGCTGAAACGAGCTGCCAAGACTGAAATGCACGAAGACTCAATATGTGCGATGGCCGAAGGCAAAGACGCTTGTCAGGTATTTATTCAAATAATTTTACTCCTGACTAAGGAAAAAAAGAAAAAAAATCTCAAGTGAATTTAAAGAGAATCGTGGTTTGTGGTTTTGAAATCAAGAGGACCCAACGGTCATTATAAGCCCAAAATCAGATTGATAGCCGAGTGTCACTGTGCATTTTTGGGTTAGGCAACCGCATTTCTGAGGTAATTAGAGGGTGCCACCGCGAAGTCTAGTCCCTTAGAGCGCTGATGACTCCCAGAAAATTTGTGACCGCATAAAGCCGCAGAATGCAATTATTATTAAACCCATGTGAAGGCTGAACGTGCCCTTGGCTCCCCCAAAGTGGAACGATATCGACATTTTTTACGAATTCTCTCGACGGGTGATGAAAAAAAGTTGGGGAATAGGCTGAATTTAGAGTCGAAAAAATTTCAGGCCGATATTATAATTTCTCGACGGCGTGCTTAAGCCTGATATTGGCCTAAATTTTGAAATTGAAAATGTGTGGCTTGATGCATATGGTTTCCAATCAGAATTAGCGAGTTGCGGTTCTTAAGGGCGAAAATTTCGTCCGTTTGGCCGTGAGTTGAGAATGTACCATTTTTAAGCGCGTGAGTCGACGCGGGAGAACACATATCACTGATACAAGAACCTGGTAGTAGGTACATACAGTGGTCATACGACGCCGATATCATCATCAGCCTTTGCTGTTAACCACTTGCGTGAGCACCAAGTAAATTCTATTAATCTGGGGGCAATAGGATGCGGTGGCACGGTAGAGAGCGTGCCCAGGAGACGGCGCTGCGCCGCGCCGCGATGCTACTCTTCCTCCACGCATACCTTTGCGCGGCTTCAAAACGTGCAGAAAAGGAACATGGAGAGGTGACGTAAGATTCAACCTGGCAACTTTGAAAGAAAGGTAGAACCTTGTAACGGATGCAATTGTTAATTTTTCTCTTTATTTATGACTCACCTCATGATTCAAAATTTTCGTTTGAAATCATTATATACCTAATTAAAACAATTAAAAAATAATTGTCTGCACTTCATTCGAAATTTTTGTCATAGTTTTTCATAGCCTCGCGACTCAAAGTTTCTGTTTGAAATTCTGGTATAGTTAAAAAAGTAAAAAATTAATTGTTTACAATTTTATTCGAAATTTTTATTATCTTTTTTCATAATCTCATGATTTAGAGTTTTCGTTTGAAATTCTGGCGTGGTTAAAAAAATGTCATTTCACTTAATGTACATGTATTACTTTTTTTCAGGGTGACAGCGGCGGCCCCTTGGCGTTGCCTATCGATGACCGATATTACCTCTACGGCATAGTCTCGTACGGACCAGGCTGTGCTCGGAAAGATGCCCCTGGTTATTACAACAAGGTCCACACTCACTTGAAATGGATCGCAAGTTTGATAGATTGATCGAATTTTGTTGACATTGTTAGTTTTTTTTACTTATTTTTTTTGGCAAATGTTACTATAAGATTGATCATGAGCGACAAGCAGTACATTTCGAAAAATTCGTGAGGTACTTAAAATTATGGAGGGTTCATTTCCGCTTTACCGCTTTTCTGGTCAAGATTGTTTGTGATCCAAGAAAATTGACAATCGACCGCAAATAACACCGAAACCGACAATTTACCGCAATAAACAGAGGTTATTTATCAATTTATTTATCCGGCATTCAGGAATCATTATGACGTCATCAGGGCTACAGGCGTATCGTAATAGGAGAAATTAAATAAAATACCGTAGATACGATCGTAAACTCAAACTTCAAGCATATTTACCATTGGTTTTGTCTTAATTTGTACGGTTAAGTGTTCCTATTCGAATAGTATATCTGAAAAGAAATTGCTTGACAATCGGTTTAATCTTGAAACCGACTTGATCCAACCTAGACTTCCAACCGTTATTATTAGAACTCGTGAAATTACAAACAAGCTTTCACTCATTCCCAAAAGTGAATCATTACTTGCTTGCTAAATGTTTTCAAAATGACGGAATATCCTTTATACGTTTTAAATATGTGCGTATTCATATCAAACGGAACCACGTATACATAAATTAAATCAAAAGGAACTATGAAGGCAACACCAATCAGAAGCACTTAAAAGAGGTTTTGCCATTCAGTCGGAGAGGAGGTACAGAAAATTGGTCGCGCTCTGCCGATTAAATCTAATTAGTCGGTCTTGACGATTTGCATATTTGCATACCCAATAGTCTCCCTGCAATTTTTCTCATTCAGCACGCTAATGCAATAATAATAATTTCCCGGGTTGAAATCCAATCGTTCATCTGTCACACCTCCTGTCGTCGCGTTCGTGAAATCCGTGATATTAATCTGTAAAGGTTTCAACTTACATCTGAAGTGACTTGCAAGCCCTCCATGAGATGCATTAAAAGTACTCCATTGCTTGGGGTACCAACTCTAAGGTTGCCAAAATTCCTCAACCTACCTACAATTCATGAATCCATTGCACCTGTGAATGAAGACCTCATCAGATAACCTAACAAAGTGAGTATGTGAAAAGAATTGCTTTACAGCTGTAAGAGAAGTTCCCAAGTTTGTCTTCTTGGTAACAAAGCTTGTATTTGGATCACTATTTCCGGTTATAATATTCACCTTTCTTTTAAATCAAATTCTCAGAAGTTACTGTCCAATTTTTTTCGTTTTCCACCCTATGCAAAATTGTATCGCATTTTAAATTTAAATGGCTAAATTAATAGCGACTACGCGAGGTGGGAAGTGTTTAGCCGTTGACGGGTTTATATATCATGAACAATACGCACATCGGTTCAGAACCTGTCGGCATTGCGCAGGGAAGACAAGCAGAGCAAAGAAAAACCACAAGATTTTGCAAAAAGCATGATAAAATACTCTCTAAAAAGTGAAATATGACGAGAAATCTGCGACGCGACGTCTTGAATGTGTTTACGATGTACCGTTGTTTGATCAGCATTTTGCCAGTCTCTGCTGATTGAGTTTGATGCATGCAAGAAATACAGCCAGGTAAATACTTGTTACGTCTGAAACCGCACGCAAAAAACTTTGGGCACGTCAAAAAAGTCTAAAATTCATTCCTTAGCGTGCAATTTGCGTAGTTTGTAACACGCTTTTTCAAATTTCCGCACTGTTTCTCTTGCGTGCAACGGACCTGTTCATCTGACAACAATGTCAGTGTCAGCTGATAATAATATTTTTTCTGATAAGAGGTTAATTAAAGTTTTCCAGTCAGTTTCGGACATCCTGAAGAATTGGTTTGGTATTTATTTACTAATTTTACGGAATTATATATTATTTTCTTATTAAAACTAAGAAAAACAGACCTATTGAGGGGCTTGAAGGACAAGACGCATAAGTGAAGTTTTTGCTATTTCGAGAAAAACTTGTATAAAGTTTCGAAATTACATGAATATCCTTATGACGGAAACAAAGTTCAAACTGACTTTTTGATGTTCACAAATTGGAATTTGGGAGCGAATTTTTCTCCGATACTTCTTGAAAGAATGAATTTCTCAATTTTGTCAAAAACTGCACTTATGCGCCTCATCTCCCAAGCCCCTCCATTATTGGTCGAAATCTATGTTGCAATTACATGCATTTACATTTTGGGTCAAGAGCTAAGCGGATGGTAATGGCAGTAGTAATGGGAACATCGAAATCGTGCTGGCGCCGAGACAGGACGCTGGTAGCGAAACGCAAGCGTGGGCGATGGGCACGGTAGAAAATAATGGTCGGACGTGTCGTCTATAAGTAACAGCTGAACTGTAATTTTCCCTCAGCTTAAAAACCCAGAAAACGAAGCAGACTGAAATCCAATTTCGCGTCTCCTCTTACCGTGCCCGCCCCCCACCCCGCCGCGCCGCCTGCCCTGTCACACCTTTTCAGCCCCCGCTACGAGGGAAAAAGTTCAAGCACGTTACTTTTTTATGTGCGCTCCTCTGCTGTACCGAGCTCGTTTTTCATGGAAGTGGAATAACAAGGCACGACCGTAGGACCGGGCTAAGTGAGGGCGAGGAGGGGGTGGGCCGAGCGAGGATAGAGTCTGGAATTTTAAGAGAACACTGCATAATAGCGATAATTACTGGAGTGGAAACGACCTCACTCCCCGGCTGCAGCGCTCCTTGTTTAATCCGCTCCTCAAACTTGGAAAAGTACACGTGCCCGGAACAGGAGCGAGAGAGACGGGAGACTCTCCGAAGGGGAGGAAGACTACGTGAGTCAGAAGGGGGTCGGGAAAAAAGGAAGAAGGAAAAAAAACAAGTGCGGAGCGAATTAATTTGAAAGAATTCTCCATTTTGAAACCAAGTCCACGTGGTACGGGCAGAGGTTCAGCTTTTTTCCCTGTTTCTTTTTTTAGATTTTTTTTTCCCTCTCGTTTTTCCCGCATTTCCCACTTTTTTCACCGTCTCTGGCAAAATGGCTGTTCCGCCCTTAGAAGCGCCACGTCGCCCCTCCCCGGGCTCGCAACGAGTGCGGACTGTGGAATATTGATCTTACCTCCCTTGCTCAGAAGTTTAAATTAAGTTCCCTTCACGTTGCATAAAGGTACCGCAATTTACAATTAAAGCGGTGCTTGTATTAGATGCCGACCGGACAATATGTTTTCGTTAACGAATTAGACTGCCTTTTCTTTTTTTCCGCGGACGTCCGCGATCCGTTCGGGGCGAAAAAGGAAATGGGGTTCGGTGCAGGTTTTTTTTTCCATGCTCACAAAAGATAATTAAAAGAGGTAAAATCACACGAGTGGGGAACTTAAAAAGTGAAGGGGGAGAGGGGAGCGCAGCGTGGGCTCAGTTTTAAACGTGTTATTACTTTTTTGTTAATCCTTTGTGGAGAGTGTATGAGCCTCTTCTTTCGACCATGCCGATTCCAATTCAGACGAACCGGCAAAAATATTCTGCTTTACTTGACTCGAGGTGCTTGGTCGTGTGCGAGTAAAGAGAAGGAGACACGTTCAATATTATGATCCATCCAATTTGCTTCGACATTAATGTGCATGATTCAAATCACTGGTTATATCCAACGATAGAAACAACCTTATTCATGCAATAGTATTTAAGAAGGAAAAAATTGAGGAATCTTATCGAAGACTTATATTTTTGAGAGTATGTAATTTTTCGTTCAAGGTTTTATTTTGGGGGAGAGGGGTCAAAGATAGGAGAGACAAAGCCGTGCCTCGTTTTTTTAAAATTCACTTAAATTGGAGTGAAACCTCATTGGCAGCATGAAGCGGAGCATTGCGAGTTCACGCCTCGCCCATCGCGCCTTCAATTTTACAGATACAATACGGACATCCATCAAGCACGAATAGTTGTATCTCGGCGCCGTCGTCAACGCGCCACCTTTCCTTTGCTCTATTTCCATAGTACGTTTGTTTCCGTTTGTCTTATTTGTGATTGTGCTTTAAGGGCTTCGTGAAACACACAGCAGAAGATAGGGAAGATGTCATCGGGCCTCGTTTATTAACTTTTCTCCCGAATTTGAACGACACCTCATCAGAAGTGCAGAGCAGATCAATGGGAGTTCACACCTAACGTCATGGCGCCTTCAATTTTACAGATACAATACGGACATCCATCAAGCACGAATAGTTGTATCTCTGCGCCGTCAGGAATGGGCGTCCTTTCCTTTGCTCTATTTTCATATTGTGTTGGTTCTGTTTGTCTTATCCTTACAGCAGTGCTTCAAGGGCTACGTGAGCAACACATCCCAAGACGTGATCGATCCTCGTTCAACTATTCTCCCGAATTTCAGCGGCACCTCATTGAGAGCACAGAGCGGCGCTTTGAAATATCGTGTACTACGTTATTGCGCATTCAATTTTTCAGATTCAACGTGGCGATCCATCGAGCACAAATAGTGGCAACTCTGTGCTGTTATTAATGTGCGTTGAGGCGTGTATTTTATTTCTGAAATTAGAAAAGTGTTAAGGTAAAGTTTGTTCGAAATATACTATGATAAGTCCAAATCAATCATCATTTTGAAAAAAAGGGAATGCTCGTAGGTCTTTTAAGCACCTAAAAAAGGGCACACGCCTAAAATTTTGTAGTTCGGCAAAAGTTGTGTTGTAAAGGGGGATTTTTTGTATTGTATTGTTGTATTGTATATGCCTTTCTCTTACGACCATACGCCCTAGAAAAGGCGGTCGGGTAAAGTGGACCCGACTTTCTCTTCGGAGAGATTTGCATATGACAAATGAGGAGGGGATGAGAAAGTGCCAGTATTTTGGTGGCCGCAAACTTTCTAAGGCGCAAATATGAGTTATTTTACGTGATGCAGTTACCTCAGCATCTAATTAATCTGAATAAAGTATCAATCATTGACGGTGATAAGGGCGGATATATACAGGTACAAATAGTATCTGATCGGCACCGACACAAATAGCACTAGCAGCACTATCACCGGTAGCCGTATAGCGGCACCAGCACTAGCAGCACAATAATCACCGGCAGCCGTAGCGCCACCATGCTCGACAGACTAGACAAAATCGCACAAAATGGGAAATAAAGGCTTAAAAATTAGAGAGAGGAGGTTCTCACAAGAAATTTTGAAAGGTTCAAGCCTTAGTCGCCTATTTTTTGTTCGCTTTTCATCCTTGACACATTTCGGGCTATGGGTTTTCGTGCTTAAAATTACTGAAAAAGCACCGCAATCAAACTTCAACTAAGCTCTCTCAGCAATGAGTGCATTCTTTTTGGTAACGCCCTGTTAAAGCTGTTAAGCTTCAAACAGATATGTCTCCGTGGTAAGAACGCTCTTTACATATTATATATGCATTGTAAAACCTAAGTGAATAAAGTTCTCGTACTCTCAGTATTATTATGAAGGTAATTATTATTACGAAGTTGAATAGTTGAAATAGTTGAATAGTTGCATAGTTGAATAGTTGAATAGTTGTTTAATCCAGTGATCTTAATTTTATTTTTCATCTTATGTCTTATTTTTTCAAGAATTTTTCTTGTATTTTTTATTAATTCTTATTTTTAAAGATTTATGTTGTTTATGTTATTTATAAGAGGTAGCATTCAGTAGAAATGAAGAAAAAAACACTAAAAAGCGGCCCGAAACTGTATGTAACAAGCCCGTCTTGGATTTTGCGGCATGTTAAGTTGGGTTCACTGCCGAGTGTGATCTACTGATGAGGTCTAAAAAGGCCCAAACTGATATAGACCTCTCGACGTGACTCCAACTTAATATTCCTATGCACACTGCCTGAGCTGAAAACTCTCCCCCCTCAGTTTCGTACTGGTGCGCATTAGAGCTCAAAAATTAATTTTGACGCTAATTTTAATTTTTGGAAATCCTTGGCTTTGATTTCCCCGCGAAATGGTGTGGACCCAGCACCATTTCTCCACCTTGTTATTCAGTAGTTTTGATTGTTGCTAAATGTAAGCAACACGCCCCTAAGATCGAGCCAAAAATGAGAGATTTATATGCATTTAGTTGGAGAGAGAGAAAAAAAAATCAGCGAGCAGCACTGAAACAAACAAGTTTCCCGATCGCAATCTCAATAATTAGCCAAGGAAATCAAATCAGAGCGGATTTTTTTCCGGTAGAGAAAATTTTATATCCTGACGCCGTCTCTGGGCGCGTTAGCAGAACCGGTCTTTCAATTATCTCGCTCCGAAGGAAAACATTTTAAAGC